TCACGTCGGCGTATTTTGTGATTGAAAAAGCTTCACGTCTTTTTAGTCTCTGTGACCGATTCTTCAGCTGCTTGTTACTAGGGAACATCGCACGCCGATCTGACGAATTCCCATATCGAACTTGAAGTGTTGTCAAACATTTCTTATGACATTGACTGGAGTCGATGTCCCTTCGGTCTTCCAATCGAATTCGGGCTTAGATTCCGAGGAAAAAAAGGATCGGGGGATGCCGAACGGTGCCCATCTGAATATCGGGACGTCTTGACGGCGAGCATGCGCTCTGCAGCTTCTTGACCGGTTTAAGCCGGTCAATAGCGAGTGCTGCACAGTCTAAAGAGACCCCAAGACGCTTGAACGAGCGCATCAAAGACAAATTAAGGAGTGAGCTATGCGGGAAGGCTTAGAAAACCCCGTACGATTGGCTTACTTTTTCTAGATTTAAAATTTTCTAAGTTTTATCGCCTGGAATAGAGCGCTACCTCCTCTAATACTAAAAAAACGTCAGATTATAATAGACAGTGCGCTACATAGAGCGCTATCTCCTCTATAACAGAAAATCCCGTCTGTAACAGAAAATCCCGTCTGGTTAATGTCGTCAATACAATGCACAGAGCAATACCTGCTTTTTCACTGGAAATAACGTCAGCTTATTATGATCAACAATAAGAAACCACATGTAACGCGTCACACGCGGGGGCCACTGCTCGACCGCGTGGTCGTTCGGCGGGAGCTCCAACTGCTCGACCACCGGCTCGGGTGACGGAAGCCTCGACTGCTCGACCGCTGTGTTGCATTGCGGGAACCCATGCTCGACCGCCATATTGTGCTGCGGGAACTCATGCTCGACCGCTGTGGTGCGCCGCGGGAACCCATGCTCGACCGCAGTTGTGCGCTGCGGGAACCCATACTGCAAACATTGTCAGCTCATAGCTGACAATACCGGTATAAAACAATAGAGCGCAAATAATTTAATTTCATAGAAAGCATCTGGCGATAATACAAAGAAGCCCCTTGAATATAATTGATCCCCCTGAATATAAAATAGCCTTTTTGCTCATAGAAAAAAAGCCTTTTCCCGTCGTTTCAGCGAGTCCGAGCGACGGGACGCCGACAGCTAAATGTGGTAGCGAAGAGAACAAGAGGGAATGCATGGCCTTTTCTGAACGAACCGCAAGTCGGGCAGGCCCTGGAACCCGATGTATCGGCCACAAGTGCCACTGCCGAACCGTTGAGCAGCCATCGGAACACGAGGTGCGTCTCATCCTTTGTTGTCGTTGATGCATCGTTGACTCGTTATACCGCGCAGACCCTTCAGTGCGTCAGATGGGGGCAGCGGAGACTTGCTGACAGTTCTCGTGCACTTCGGGCGGAATCTGGGTGCTCTCGTCGCCAAAGAAGTGGATGTTTCAAACTACACTGCTGCCGCTGGAGAACAACTCAGCACGTACGTGGTCGCCTCGGTTGGTGCCTATGCTGCATCCTCCAACCTCGTTAAGTGTCTTCGAGGAGGCGAAATTACAGCAACTCTACCAATAGAACGAAGAGTTTTATACGAACAAAAGTTCTACCCATATGCTGCGACGCGCGTTGTCGAAGGCAGCACTTCTCCTTCCTCGAACGAAATGCTGGCAATATCATTACCTGCAGGATGGTCGTCAATAAATTAGCAGCGACCAAACCTCAGAGGTGATGGGGGAAATGCAGATCTTGCAACAGTCACCGAAGGAGGAAAACATTTGGCCCTGAAACTCGAGCTCGTGGAGCGTGGAGACAGCCACTTGGAAGATTTCTTGCTTGGCACGTGCATGCTTCCCGTTGCCAAGATCGGGTGTCAATTCCAGCAGACACGTTTGGCACTTACTTTTCCATCAGATGCCACAAAGGGCGTGCTAGACCATGCTTCTGGTGCTTGTGTGTATTTGTCGCTGCACGCTACCTGCCGAGACCGTGTCCCCAGTTCGAGCTCTCTGGAGCATGTCGAAATCATAGTAGAGAGTTTCACGCCCGTTGTCGTAACTGGCCACGAAGATGAAGGAGCGACATTCGACTGCACAAGCTTCGCCGCCCTAATAAACCTCGGCGCTGATGGGAGCACTAATTCCTCACACGGGGTACTCGAAAATCACTTTACACTTCTTCGAGATGGACAAGCTCTTCCTGAACTCGATGCTGCCATGGAGAACGGGGCAATAAGAATAGCCAAGAAAGTTGGCATTGCACCTTCATCTTCATCGACCACGGGCAGCGCTTCAGAGATGTACGAGTGGTTATTCCCTCTCAGTTTTGCCTTGGGGGCTACGACTTGTCAAGATTTCTTAGACGAGGCCGTGAGTATCGCTCTCTTCAACACCTCATCGGTGCCGTACAAACTTGCTGGTCGTGGTCAGTTCCACCTCGTATCAGCCGTGGCTCAAGGTTCTAGAAAAGATGGCTCACCACGGCGACACACTGTAATTCCAATCGCACCTAGCGGTGACAACTGCCGTGTACTTGGTCATGTCGATTTACGCTTGCGCTGGTGGGATACTGCTGGTTGGAGCGCTTTCATCAATGACATTCCAGCTCGACGCGTCGTCTGCACGAACCGCTGGAATCGATCACCACGACCGACAATTGCTTGGCTAGGAGCACTTTTACGTGGTCTTAATCGCCACCCTGTAGCTTCAATCAGCGATGCTGGAGGTGTGTCTGGAGTGATAGCAGAGCTACTTGCTAAGTCTTCATCGAGGGGAGAGAACCTTCCAAAGATGGATGCCCAGCAGCAACAGCAACATCAGCAAATCTCGCCCACCACGTTAAACAACAGAGAGGCAAACGATACCGGCGCATTGTGAGAAAGCAGCTCACTCATTTGCAGGCTGAAGGAACCGCTCAAGGTCTCCAGATTTTAAGGGTACGCTTCGCACGTCATGCTGCGCACAATTCTCGCTGAAAAAAGAAGCTAACTCGCCTTCTTTTCTGACTGATCAGCTCCAGAATGCAGTGGGCGCACGTTTAGCTACCATAAAGAAGTGTGGGTTGGAGATCGTGGCCTTACGGGTGAGTGCTGTCAATCTCGGATGCCATTGGGTCGTTTTCTTTGATGTCTGTAATGACGCATTCACAGAAAGGGCTCTCCCCAAGGAGAGCTCCGTTTTCTCCTATTGTAATATTTCGAAATGAAATTTCAATACAATTTTTTTGTGTTGTTATGTCCCGTGACGGTTAATTAGCTGCATATGAGCAGTACCTGAAATTGATCACTGAGCAGCTGCTTCGAACAGAGACAACGTACGTAGCCGTACCAGTCCTCCTCCGTAGTCTTCTACACGTCCGCTATCTCCGCCGCGTGTGCGTGCAATGCACGCATGCACAATGCATACAGTAGCCGAGCAGCTTGGGCTAGCGACAGTTTCATCCCAGAAAACCAAGTATTAGTTAATATACTCAAACTTACCTCCCTTCCGTCATCGTGGCATTTCTTGCGGCAGCACCGCCAGTGTTTCGTCTTCCCGGGGACTCCGGGCGCTGGCAGCCTGGACAATACATAGCGCTTTCTAAAAGTCCTGCTTGTTGCCACCACGCTACAGCCCCAACCTCGTCGCTCGTCGCCTCAATGATTGATGTGAAGGTGAAGTGCTCCACGTTGTGGAGAGCATAGTGATGGCTGGTTGCGCTAGTCATGATACGGAGGGAGGCTGGCAGAGTCTGGTGCGGTGCAGATACTTTGCAAAGTGAGGGAGTAAGCGTGCTGGCTGAACGCGTGACAGGGAGGGAACAAGGGCATTCTTGCCTTTACATACAAATGACTAGTAATTTGTTTTTACATACATCGTGTAAATGTCGTCGAAAACGGGGGCGTAACCCTGTTATTTGCCATTTTGAGTCGTGAGTAAATCTTGTGTGACGCACACTGGTCAAATCACAAACTATGAAAATTTCATTTTGAAATATTACAAAAGGAGAAAACGGAGGGAGAGCCACAGAAAGAGGTACGTTTAAAAGGAGGTCGGTGTAACTCCACCAAATACGTTGGAACCGCCACAAAAAAAAGGAGAATGCACACGAATGGTGGACAGCTATCACTCACAAAATACAAGTGGAGTGTCCACACATATAGGAAGCAGTAACACTTAGCACAAAGCTAATAAACACTCCATGCCAGTGTTTTTGTTCGAATCATTAGCATAGGTGAAGTGGTTCGAGCACTAAGTTGTAGCGATCATGTTGTAGTTGCAGCAACAACGAGTCGCTGTCAACGACGCCTTATTTTCCATTGCAACGTGCCATGGCACTACATTTCGGCTGGAATCCGAGCAGAGACCACACTCTACGAGGTTGTGGCTGGGACGGTGGAGTCCACGTGCCCCTTCGCCATTAAGTTGGCTTTGCAGTGTCATTCTCCAACTTGAGCCCAAGAGCTCCAGCACCACACCCCGTCCAGAGCAGCGGCATCCACCAGCGCAGCTCCAAGAAAAGCACGAGTACGTTCATTGATGTTATAAAAAGAAGGTTTCTAGCATGTTGATTCTGCGTTCATCTACCATGTTTGATGGTGCAATGCAAAAAAGCTCGACATGAAGAAGTGCGTGATTGGGTCGCGCTCGAAGTCAAAGTACTGGCACTTTGGGAGCCGCCATCATCTTCGTCTGGATCGTACTTGCCTACTACTTTGTTGTCGAGGGTGCCAAGGCCATGGACGTGCACAGTATGCACGCATTGGCCATCCACGCTGGATCCTGCAGTTCATTGGTCACGGCGTCTTCGATTGTCGCAAACCGGTACTCTTACAGCCTGGACCAGGATCTGATCACCGCTCCGATGTTGGTGTAGCTCCAGATTTTGTTCCCACTCGGTTACCGTCCGGAACTCTACACGCGCGTGATGAAGCAGGTCCGGATCACAGCAAGACCTTCCAGGCTACAAAGACGCTGTAGTTGAGGCAACAAGACAGTGACTTTTGTGGCCTCATCAAAAAGAAAAAATGTATTGTTTTCAATATATCTATGCGAATTTTCTCGTTAGGAGGTTACGACGATCTCTGCCATCTCTGTGAGACTCTTGGCAATACCCCCCGCCCCACTAACGAGACAGTTGAGAAGTAGGAGCTCCTCCATTGACACCTTCTCGTAGCGACGTTCTTCCAGCTGCCATTCCACGTACGCAGTCTTCATCTGCGCCGCAATGTCGCTACTGGAGAATTCCTTCACATTTAGAACGTCGTGCTCGCGACACTTGACAGGAGCCGATGACGCAGCCAACGAGACTCTCTTGTTCTTCTCAACGGACGAAGCTTGGGACGAGTTCCGTTAGCTCTCACGTGACGGCATCGCGGCTCGAGAATTGTTGACATTCGCTTCCTGCACATCCAAAGGTGGAAGTTTGGACTGAATCTTGTCGCCAGAGTCCACGTCGACGACCTTCGGCTCGTCGTTCTTGCTCGGATCTCCCGCGTCGTCCTCGTTCTCATTGATAGCCGCAAGCACATGCTCCCTCTGGCTACCAGAGCCGAGGCCTTGGATTTACGTTGCGCGTACACCTCCACCTCGAGCTTAAGGCCGTTCTCCAGCGCCTCGACGAACTCTTCGATCGACACCAAGCCACTGTTATCCTTGTCCACCACACGCATGAATTCCTCGACGTATTTGTGGATCTCGCCTTGCTTGACCGTGCCAGACTGGGCGACGATGGTCTCCAGCATATCTGCCACTTCGTCCGCGTCGATCTCGCCGCTACAGTCCTTGTCTGCCAAGCGGAAGGCCTCTTTCATCTGCATGAAGATGGCGGTCTGGTCCGGCTCCAAGTACAGCAACGCATCGCTAAAGAGCATCTCCAACGTCTTGAACGAATTGGTCACTACAGTCTGGAATTGGCTCGTGGCGAGCTGCACTTTGCACTTGTGCTCTTGCTGTCAAGTGAAGCCTCAGTGTCTCGAATGTCGACACTATTAGGCTGAACTTGGTCGTGTTCGACGCGGAAATTGAACCACCGCACCAGCTTAAATAGTAGCGTGTTGTTGTTCAGTAGTCGACGTGAACACTCGAGATCTTTTTCACATTTCAGAGTCGAGAAAGGTCTCCACATGAGCGGTTCGGCTTGAGCCTCCGCCAGTAAGGACGCTTGTTGCACATGTTTAGCAGGGATCTTTACCTGCTCCATCTAAAAGATCATCGTTCTCGCTCTCCATTTTGTTTGTCTCCACGTAATTTTAAATGAGCGACAGTGCGCCGACTGTGTAAATCTATCTATTTCTGTATCTTCAACACTTCAATACTTTGGCAGTGATCGTGCTATTGTGGTGGTCGTATATTTTAAGGTGGTGGTGGTGACCCGTTTTCTGTGTGTGTGGTCCCGTCGACATTTTGGGTGGATCTACACTTTTTTAAAATAGCAGTACACATAATTTAAAGTTTTTTTAAAAGACGAACAGCTACAAAAGCTCATGGATCATATCGAGTCTGCACAACGCCGCAAGCAGCAACAACTAGCCGAGCTACTGGGCTCTACCAATGGAAATGAAGTTGCTTTCCCTGCACACCCAGAGCACCAAGCAGCATCGCATCGGTTCACGTTGCTAGCCACGAAGTACAAGGTGCTAGATCGCGAATACCAAATCCTGAAGCAGCAGCTTGCTGACGCCAAGCAGTCTTTAAGCGCATACTCCGACCTGGAGAAACGCCATGACAAGCTACAGGAGGCTCACCTTGTACAATCTGCTTTAGTACAGCGCCTACAGCGTGAAAAGGAGCAAGCAACCGCTCTTAAGGTGCGGGTGACTTAACCCCTTACCAGAGACTACGCTGAATAGATGACTCACCATTCTTGTGACTTGCTAGAAAGCAATACGGATACAGGAGAAAGTGATTCGTCAATTTGAACAGACACTCGCACAGCAGTCAAAAGAAATACCAGAGCGACGTCTGCACGCACCGGAGGCCGATACACCAGATATCAACGGTGGAGATGGTGGAACGCGGGAGGTTCTGCTGCGTGTACGCGTCCAGGTCCTGGAGCAGCAACTGCAGACGAATGCACGCCAGGCCGCAGCCGAAATGAGTGCTCTACGCTTGCGTATCCTGGAACTAGAGACGGCGGCGAGTTGTCGTACTGTAAAATAGAGCGGTGGCGACACTCGCTGCTCTGGGTTTTGATTTTTTCGTTCATCTGTCTAATTAAGAGACATTTACCTACAGTAGAGAGATGCTGCTCTTCTCGTGTGTAAGGAATAGAACAACGGGCTACTGCTACTTTTTCTCATAGCGGGATTTCTTGATGCCCAGGCCTGCAACGAATCCCTCGCCTTCCTTTCTACCCTCGTTGGTCTGTTCCGTCCACATCTTTTTCATGCCTTCCTCGTGAAAACCCAGCTTCTCCAACTCCTCGGGCTTCATCAGGCCCCTGTAATGAAGAATACATAATGGTGAGACCACCACTCTGCAAGTACAAAAACACAAGTTGCCCACTTGTCCATGCGGCACTGCAGATAAGCGGCCGAGAGCGTCTTGCAGTCGATGTGGCTGTTGCGGTGCTCACGCATGCAGACCAGAAACTCCTTCATAGCGGGCTTGCACTCACCGTAGTGGTCCAGTGGGAACGATCCTTTCTCGGGCGGCCGCTTGCTCTGCGAAGGTGCCTGCGCAGCGTTCATCCTTTCTGACCGGTAGTAGTCGATGTAGGGGTTGGGATTAATCCATTTATCCCACCCACCCACCGATCCCCTTCTCGGCGTTGCAGCGGGATGTGATCATTTCTCGGTTCGCTGCTTTACCTGGAATGACGATTCGTATGTGTACTGAAGCTCAAGGCAACGGCAGGATATTGTTGAGCTTCCGTCCTACTCTAGCGTTGCTGAGAGCTACAGGAGAACAACTTAAGGTGCGGATACCCGCTTCTGTTGCTCATGAAATAGATAGCAAGACAGACGCAAAATTGTGGGGTGAAGCTGAAGCACAGGAGGAGATTTATCGACTCTTTCTAGCAGGTAAAATCTTCGCGGAAGACGCGCAGATCTTCGACTGTGAGGACAGCGGGATGTGGTTTCGTCGGCTGCGTGCTTTGCAGATATTCTCCACAATCAAGCCAGGAGGAGAGGCTCAAGAAGAGGTGGTGTATCTTCCATTCCGAGATCTTGCTGCGCTTCGCTACGTGTATCGCCAGATTGATGACGAAGGAGACGGAGCTGGTGCCATTGGCAGAAGTACCGAATCACCATTTCGCATTGTGGACAAGATCCGACTGACGAAGGCGCTGATAGATGCCGGGTTTGACTGCGGCGCTCTGTTAGAGCGCGGGCTGCTGGACCATCATCTCTGTCCACATACCCACAGAACTACCTATGTGGACACGTCCCTGGATACAGATCGAGTCCAGTGGGGAGAGTTCCCAGCCCCCTGGAGAGTGTTTGGGAAGATTTTTCAATGCTACCGAAGCGATGACGATTTACTTCTTCATGTCCGGAATTACTTTGGAGAACAGCTCGGCTTCTGTACGTCTTCGCATGTGGTACTACTCGCTGCGTCTTTAGTTTTGTCTACTAACACAAGGTGTCGTCTGTCCCGTTTAGACTTCGCGTTTGCTTCTTTCCACGCGAGTGCGTTGAGGACACTAGGGCTCGTAGCGTTGGTACTTGCGATTGTAGCAGCGAAGACTTCGAGGCCCCGAGAGGTGGAAGCTGCCTTCTGTTTGTGCTCGTGTGCATTTCTGGGAATTTTCGTGCGCAAATGGGAGCTGCAAGAGGTACGGCTTGCCTCTGGCTGGTCCGGTAGCTCTCCAACGGACGGCGGCAGTGGTGTTAATCCACTCCTGCAGTTACTAAGGCCGCAGTTCCGTGGACAAATGCGACGCAGCCCTGTGACTCTGCGCTTGGAACCGTATGCGCCAGTCGGGAGGGAGGTTGCACGTCGGTTGGTGTCGACACTGGTGCTTGTGGCGCTTACTTTGCAGCTCACAGCGAGCAATGCTGTGCTAGTGGCGAGCAACCGCTTTCAGGCTCTTGCGCCGTGCCCTTCGATGCGGTAACGTAGGCTCTATGTATTTGACCAGGTTTACAACCTGCTTGAAAAGTGTGATGGGCAGAAATGCATGTCGTGGGAAAAGTGGCTTTTTCTTGCAAATCGCCAAATGCCTTAGCCTAAAATTAAAAATGGTGTGTCTCTAAATTAGATCTCACAAGAACGGGCCATTTGCACGATGGTTGGTAAAAATTGGAAACTTAGCCGGGGAATGGTGTAGTACTACTAATATATCAGTGCTTCCCCTCGTCTCGCTAATATTTCTCAGTATTAGTTTTGTAAACGGTAATACTGGTCTAATATAGTATTTTGGCAAAAAAACATTCTACTATAAGTCCCTAGCCGTCACTTGTTGGACCTTCACTCTAGATAGTGGACGTTATATCGGTTTCGCAGGGATTTAGGGCATACAAATATTAGGTAAGGGAAATCATCAATTTAGGGCCGCCCTGAAAAAAAGTCGCATAACTCGGCAACTATTTGCACAGGGACACAAAGCGAGACAGTGTCCGAAAGCTTGTAATCTGAATTTTTTTATCGTATTTTTTGCGGCCAATTACCAATTGCATTGATCGTTCAGGACACGGCAGCAGAAATTTTTGTCGTATCAGTTCAGGGCCGCATTTAACCTGAGCTTCAGTATTAAAATGTTCAGCTGGTGAAAATTTCAAGCCCATTCTAGCATAGGGTTAGATCACCCTTTCTTTTTATGTTTATGCGTCTTGATAAAATTTGCAAGAATAATCAAACGTCTGTCATTACCAAAACAAAATCAGAAACGTCAAGTGCTGATAGCTCAGTCGTTTAGACGCTAGCTTATTGAGGGCCCATTGTATGAGCAGGGTTGTCGCGGGTTCGAGTCTACTCGTTGCCGTTAATTCTCCGCACTGAAAAGGTAAGTTATCAATTCTTAAACATTGTGTAAAGATTGCAACTAACCCTTTTGTTGATTAGCTACACTACGACGGAATTGACAATATGTTGGGCTGCCCTCGTCTCTTGAGGGACTCCATCGCCTTTGCCTTCGGTGGCGACTGCAGATTTCCTGCGCGACTTAGTACGTGTTCTGCTGCTGGTGGCCCAAGCCATATTTGCAGGCTTTATTGCGTTGGGTTTGTCAATCGAATAACAGCCCTCATCGTCCTCGTCAACAACCTCCTTTATCAGATTGCAGAGTTTCACTTTTAGTGTCGCATTAACTGCAAGCTGCAGTCTGCAACGTCCAGAGGCTGCAATAGGTGGGTGGCGTTGGGCGGAAGCATGTCCTCTCAAGTATCTTGGTTTGCGCCGCGACCTCGGGAACCGCCGCACCGCTGAGTATTTTTGTCACAATGGCAGTCTTGGTGTCAGTAGAGTAAGTGTGGCGAGTCTTAGACATGGCTTGGGTCGGACAAGTAAGAAGTGAAGCGTTTGTTTTCTTCTTGCAAATGTTTGAACGGAGTGGATGGCGCTCAACAACCTCATTTAGTTGGAGGAGCTGAATAAAAAATGGCGCCAAGAGCTCACCCCTTTTGCATATTAAAAATTTAAAGGTATTCGTACTTAGCTTATTATAACCAATAGTTTCCAAGTTCAATGGAGTACTGTATATGATTGGCAGTAGCTTATGCGGCCCTAAACTGGTTCGCGGCCCTAAATTGATGATTTCCCTTACAGGAATTTGTCCCTCCTCCGACCAGATGGCGTTTGACACAACGATCACCCGGCAGATTGCTTCATTGTTTTTACCATCAAGCAAAGCGGTCGAATCAGGTTTTATTATAACAAAACTAAAATAAGATTTTACAGTATTCGCTCTAAACGTTACTTCTACATTTTTTTCTTCTTTTTTCAAAGCAAACACTAGTTTTTTTATCGACTGGGTACAATGCTGTGCCCCATCTGGTACGAGTAGCTAATCGCTCTTGTCAGTTCTTCAACTTAAGGGCTCTGGCTTCCTCTCATTCCTCAAATTCGATGTTCCAGTATCGGTTACTGCCTCTCATGAAAGGTGGCTTAACTTTTCCAACGTGGTTGAACTCTGTTCCTTCGCCTTCGTCGTTTGTTATATGATCGGCCATCAGAATGCTCCAGTTGACGACACTAGTGGCGACCACTTGATCAGCGAGTCTATAGGATACTGCAACTTTCGAGGCCTGTCACGATCCAGCATCTTGTCTTTTTCTGAGGCCGTCCAGATCTCTTCCGAGCCGGTAGGTTTCGTAGCATAACCTGTAGGTCTAGGGAGTCTACGAAATGTAGACATGCCAAAGCGTGAGCGCAGAGCCAGCCGGTTTGGTAAAACTTCTTACAGTCGCACTTGAACTTACGGCGAATTGTTTTGATATTGTCGTTGCTCCAGGAAGGGCTGTCCCATTCGTGGTCGAACGGAATTCACTCTAAACTTTCCACGACGTAAATCGACAAATAGCGCAGCTGGATGTTCTCCACCTTCTCGTTTTGCTTGATCTTACCTTTGAGCGATGCTTTGTAGGTTCTGGTTGATTGCCGTTAGGCTTAAGGCCGTGGAGGTTGTCATTGCGTACGATGTCACGTCTTTGTCGACGGGTGATAATCCGCAACTACGGAGAAATCACTACACCACACAAAGTTCCAGCCAGAACGTACCCCATCGCTGCTCGAAGATGACTTACTACCGTGGCCTTGATTGTTCTATTATGGGATTCAATCGGATTTTGGTTTGGCAGCACTCCAGCAGTGTCACTTGCAGTATAGAGCCACAAATCTCAGGGGTCATTCATCTCTAAGCCGCTGTGCGTACTCGGCTTTACCCAGCGTCTCCCATTTCTTGACCACTAGCTCGAATAAAACCTCGAACTGGCTAAGCGAGCACGCTTCGCTGAGGTAATCTAGCTGCGGCTGAATGATATCTTGGTAGCGCTCACTTAAAGACAAAAAAAACTTTCTGCCTCTGGCATTGCGATACCAATGTGGCCAGCAGTTCAGATGTTTAATGTCAAGCCAGACTTGGCGAAAGGCACTTGGGATAGCGGCAAAATGATCCATTGATTCGAAGCTAAGCTCCAAAGCTCCACCAATAACCAAATCTCATTTGGCCCTGCAGACATTAAAAAGCCGTGCATACGTGGAGGCTGTTTCCGTCCGAGTGAACATGAACGCCATTGGGTAGAACTTCTGTTGATACTTGTTCAGTACCGAGTAACGCACCCCAATGGTACCGAACGAAACTAGTGTCCATCCGCCAAAATGAATCGTTAAAGTATCATCCATCACACCAAGCTCTTCCGGGGATCTGTCGATCAAACGTTGGCCTAGTACTTGCCTAGGAGCAGTCCTGAACAATCGTCTGGACGTGAAGAGAATACCGACAGAAACCTCTCCATTCTCTAGAGAATCTGTAAAGCAATACAGTACAAGTAGCTCGTGCTGAAAGTTGAATGACTGCTGACAAAACCACAATGCATCCGTGCCCAAATCATACTCGAGGTGCTGGTGAAATTGCTCAAGCGTTGTGCACATTCTCGAAGAGGCCCACTCCATCACGTCGGCGTATTTTGTGATTGAAAAAGCTTCACGTCTTTTTAGTCTCTGTGACCGATTCTTCAGCTGCTTGTTACTAGGGAACATCGCACGCCGATCTGACGAATTCCCATATCGAACTTGAAGTGTTGTCAAATATTTCTTATGACATTGACTGGAGTCGATGTCCCTTCGGTCTTCCAATCGAATTCGGACTCAGATTCCGAGGAAAAAAAGGATCGGGGGATGCCGAACGGTGCCCATCTGAATATCGTGACGTCTTGACGGCGAGCATGCGCTCTGCAGCTTCTTGACCGGTTTAAGCCGGTCAATAGCGAGTGCTGTACAGTCTAAAGAGACCCCAAGACGCTTGAACGGGCGCATCAAAGACAAATTAAGGAGTGAGCTATGCGGAAAGGCTTAGAAAACCCCGTACGATTGGCCTACTTTTTCTAGATTTAAAATTTTCTACGTTTTATCGCCTGGAATAGAGCACTACCTCCTCTAATACTGAAAAAACGTCAGATTATAATAGACAGTGCGCTACATAGAGCGCTATCTCCTCTATAGCAGAAAATCCCGTCTGTATCAGAAAAACCCGTCTGGTTAATGTCGTCAATACAATGCACAGAGCAATACCTGCTTTTTCACTGGAAATAACGTCAGCTTATTATGGTCAACAATACGAAACCACATGTAACGACCTTATTACTGCAAACATTGTCAGCTCCTAGTTGACAATACCGGTATAAAACAATAGAGCGCAAATAATTTAATTTCATAGAAAGCATCTGGCGATAATACAAAGAAGCCCCTTGAATATAATTGATCCCTCTGAATATAAAATAGCCTTTTTGCTCATAGAAAAAAGCTTTTCCCAAACGAAGCCAACGGTGGTCACAATGATCAAGGCGGAATCGAAGGCAACAGGGGCGACGGCGGCCAAGGTGGCAATATTCGTCAAGGTGACGTCGGTCGCGGTGGCAACAATAATCAAGGTGCCAATGGCGGCAACAATTGGCTAGGTCAGCACCAAGACCATCACCACAACATGCAGTTGCGAATGTAGAGTTTAGACAGTCACGAGTTTCGCTGAATTCTGTGTTATTCATGGCTTTCACTCGCTATCACCAGGTCACTGATTCTTGTTTGCGTTTTTTAGACGAATT